GTAAATTGTTTTCAGGCTGTCACCCTGGTGACCTGCAAATGGTGGATCCTAAATTGAGCCATAGAAAGAACATGGGCTGTGGAATTAGATGTCGGTGGTTCAAATCCTGACGATGCTTCTCTAATGTCTATGAGCCTCAGGCTGCCCATCTGCAAAATGGGGTCATAATTCCTTCATAGGGATGTTAAGAGACTTGTGCCTCCTGGGTCCTGTCGCTCAGGTTCAGGTTGTCCCTCTTGGAACTACTTGCTCGATTTGTCTCTTCCCCACGACTGTGAGCTTCTTGAGGGCAGGGACCACGTCTTCTGTGCTGGTCCCCCTAGAGAGAGCTAGCACCGTGCCTGACAAGAAGACATGCTGAATAGACATGTGGTGACTGAAAGAGTCCCCCGGGCACCCAGTAGGTGCTTGATAGTTGCCTCTTCCTACCCTCCCTCTGCAAACCCTGCCTTTCGCCAGGCAAGGGACAGTTTCCATCCTAAAGGAAGTCTGGGTTCTCCACAGTCACTTTCACTTCCTAAAACTGAAATTTCTGTGGCCCATATTATGCAAGAGCAAATAAGGCAACCGCTCATTGGCAGCGGGGAGCCGAACAGAGTCACCCGGCCCGGTTCCTGGCATAGCTGGTGGGGGCCCAGTTGTGCAAGTTTCTGAGGCTGGAAACAGAACAACTCTTCTAGTGTTTCTGCGAGCACCAGGGAGAACTGTCCTGGCAGAGCTGTCCCTCATTCTTGGAAAAGAGAGCAATGGCCCTTTCCTTCCCAAAGCCAAGTCCCATGACTCTCTCCTGTGAGAGGGAGTAACGATAAGTCACCGCTGGGCCAGCAGACTAGGCCTGTAGCCCTCCCTGGACGAAGAGGCAAAATGCCTCCACAGTGAGGTTTCATGCAGTGGGTTCCTCCCCACCTCCTTTTTCTGTCCCCTCGTGTTTCCTGGACTCGAGTCTCTACTTTGGAGGGATTCCCCTTCTTCCCAAATACTTTCCGTTTTCTGTTCCAGCTGAGCCTGCCTGAGGCAATGCTGTCTGCCTCAAAGCAGCACCTCTACTCAGTCCAGCAACACCCTTACTTTCTGAGGGAAACTGAGCTCATCCCGTTGACAAGAAGGAGATGATAGTCACATCAAAGTCGAAAAGCCCAGTAATAATTACATTTCTTGGTGTATGTGCCTTTTATCAAAGGGGCTTATTAATCCAAATGAATGCTGTTTACAGCACAATTTCCATAGAGAATTGTTGGCCAGTTTGTCCCTTCCGGGTCCCTCGGGAACAATTCTTGCTTGATAATGTCTGCCTTTTTGAGAGTAAAGTGATGGGGAGCGTTAGTGATTTTACACTCAGTCTACACTGGATAAGGTGTCTTCTCACCTGCTGGGCTTTATGCCTCCGTGGGCCAGAGACTAGACAGGTTTGGGGCCTGATCATTTGAACAGTAGTCGTTTATCTGATAATTTCCCTTGCAATTCTCTTAAGATCAAAAACAAATGCTTTTTAGGAAAGAGTGGGGGGAAAAGATCTACCCAGAAGTCCACACCCATTCACGTCATTTAATTTTCTCTCCAAATTTTTATTCTTTGTCAACACAGCTTTGAAGCTGTGTGATTTCATGTCTAAAAGTTCCTCAGTCAACCGACCTACAATCCCCCTTTCTCTTCTCATTCCCCCATCGTTACCTACTTTTGCCTAATGTTTGTGCCCTGATATTGACAGACAGCTGTGTTTCTCCCATCGATTTTCCATAAAACAAACACATTTATTCATTTGGCTCTACTTACCAAACAACCCATGTCTCACATTTATGGATGCCGGCCCTGCGTGCGTCCTGCCTGGGGCCTTGCCTGATTTCCACGACTCTATGACATTCACTTAGCAGGGACAGGACTCGGGTGAGATGGTGCAGTCAGCAACAGGGCTCACCGTCTCTGTTGGTAACCACTGCACCACACTGCCTTCCTGTTCTATCCTCATGTTGTCAGAAATATTTTAAAATCACTCTGATATATTTTTTCTCACAACAGACAAGACTATGGCATCCTAACTTTCCACTAGGCTCTCTGGACCGTTTGACAGATGAACAGTTAAGGTAGGACTCGACCCCACTGTACCCATAGCAGGCTCACATTCCTGCTGTTTCCTCCTGACCTGGTGATGCCGTCACAAAGCCCAACAGGTTCTGGGGGTGTAGGGGTAGGAGCCCCTTGAATCAGGAAATCAAAGGTGACGGGAGCCAGAAGTGACTATAGGATATTCTTTTCCCCCAGGACAGATGTCCTCATTATTTACATCCTGCTCTGTCAACAATTTGATTTGACTGGCCGAACCTAGAGCAAACTAGAGAGGATGAAGTTCCCGTAGTTTAAATCCTACGGCCTTTCCTAAAACGAACAGCTAACACTGAGTGTTTACCAGGTCCTGGGTGCTGGATTCTGGGTAATCATCATTCCCCCAGTTAACACATGTGAAAACCGCTGGATCTTAAAGCTAACACGTGGAAGAGACACAGCACGGGCCCTCACAGGCCCCGTCTCCATAATCCCATCATGCTGTGGAGGTGGGGGCGCAACGGGATGCACGGAGCCCTGGAAATCAGTCCAGTCAGCTTTGGATGTGCGCTGCATGGGCCATAGTTGGTGGCTGCCCCGAGTCACTCCAGAGGCTGATTTATGGCAGCGACTCGGAGGGAGTCTTTTGGACCCGGCGTCGCATATTTTTAAGAACCTGTATATTTCAGTAGGAAAGGAAGTGAAAAGCTGCCATGATAATGATGGTCATAATAGCTGGTAATTATTGATCTCTTTCTGTAGGCCAAGCATTCTGTTAGCACATTGGATACATGACCTCACTTAAACAGGACAGAAAATCAACTGGGATTTCAGTGTCCCGTACTCAAGCCATCATTCAATTATCGTTTAACTTTCTTCTGGGACTTACAAGAGTAATGACATCCTTGTAGGCAGCGTTTGTCCCGCTCATGATTCTCCCGTGTGGCAATCATCCTTGAACTGTGCAGTGCATTTGGGCCACGTTTGTGTAAAGAAATCTTGCAACAAAATGGGCACACAGACACACATCCCATCAAAAATTCAGTTTTCTAGTATTTGAGTGTTTACTAACATTTTCATTGAATACGTGTAGTGAGATGATGAAGCAGGGGAAGCTGTCTATGGAGATCTAGTGAAATCATGTGGGCTCTGAAATCAGACAGATGGTGGTTCTAATCCCAATTGTGTTACTTAGCAGGTTCCTGAGCCCTTCTGAGCCTCCTTGAATTTAAAATGAGGGGATACCCGCCTCATAGACTCGCTATAGGTTTAAACGAACACACGCAGAACAATTAGCAGAGGTCTTGGCACAAGACAGAGTCTCAACAAGAGTAATTTCCTTCCCCTCCTCCATGCCCACTTTGGATTCGACTTGCCAAACTTGATAGTGTTCCCTGACTTCTGTACCCCAATTTATAGTTCCTTATTTCCTGATTATCTTGATTTGCTCATTTACTTATTCAAAAGTTTTTATCAAATGCCTATTTTATGCAAGTTACTGGGTAACCATTGAGGATGCAATGAAGAACTAAATAAAAACAAATTCCTTTTCACATCCTGGTGAGAGAGTTAGATATTAATCATACAAGTGGGTGGGTAGTTAGAAAGGGAGATAAATGCTACGAAGGATAGGGACACATATCTAGGCTTTAGAGTAGGGACACGAGGGTGAGTCGAGACCAGAAGTGAGAGTGTCTATGGCAGGTGGGGTTGGTGCTGGGGGAGTGGACAGTGATGGTGAAGGGCGTGTGGTAGAGGACAGCTTTCACAAAAGGGCTATGCAAGGGATGTGTGCAGGGTGGAAACTCTGTGTGTCTGAAAGCCTGAAAGACCAATGTGGCTGGCACACCGATGGTGAGGGGGAGAAGAGACAGAGACCAGGAGTTTAAGCAGAAGTCATTCCACAGACCCCGCAGGGCCGTGCGGTCCACCTGGATTAGGATCCTCATCCCAAGGACAATCCAGAAGTCACAGAAGAATTTTCAATACGGGGGTAGTGTGAAATGATCAGATTTTGCGCTGCAGAAAGATCATTCTAGATCTGTACTGTCCAATAACGGCAGCTACTGGCTACTCATGGCTCTTGAACACTTGAAATGTTGTTGGTCTTAGTTGGGATTTACTGCAAATGTAAAATATGCACTGGGTTTCATAGACTTAGTATGAAAACAAGAATGTAAAATGTCTCATTCATTTTAACAGATTGATTCCATGTTGGAATGATAACATTTGGGGTGAAATAAAATGTAATTAAAATCAATTTTACCTGTTTCTTGTTACCTTTTGAAAATGGAGCTACTTAAAAATTTAAAATGACACGTGTAGCTTGCATATGCGGCTCCCATTCTATTTTCATTAAACCGAGTTGCTAGATGCAGTGTAAACGAAGGGATACAGAGAAGGTGAAGTAGATCTGGAGGTTGTTTTAGAGTAAGGCAGCTGGGTCATGGTCGTGGGAATAACAGGAGTTGGGTGGATTCGAGGTAGAATCGGTAGGACTAAGTCCTGTAGCAAGTGCATCTGGATGAATGGTGGGCACCACATGTTAACATAAAGACCGCCGGAAAAGGACCGGCCTCGACAAGAAATAATTATGAGCTGAGCTGTGGATATGTTGAGTGGATATGTTCTGAGACAGCCAAGTAGACAGATGTCTCACCTAGGCTTGGATGAGATGTCTGGGCAGGAGACTTAAATTTGAGAGGAACTGGCATGCAGATGGGCATGACTGAGGTTCCTTAGGAAGCAAGCAGCCAGTGAGGAGTGACCTGGGACCTAGATTTGGGATAGAGGGTAGGGAAGAATAAGTTTGAAAAGGAGAGTTGAAGGGGAAAACTAGGTGTGTGCGGTCCTGGAAACAAAGGGAGAGAATGTCTTAAGAAGGAAGGAGCGATCAGCAACGCTATCTGCTAGGACAGGTTAGGCAACGTGAAGAATAAAAAATATCGGGAGTTAGCAACATGGCGGCCATCGATGATCTTTGCAAGTGCTGTTTGAAATGATAGGGGCGGAAGCCAGGCTGCAGAGGAGCGCAGACTGGGCAAGAGGTGAAGAAATAGGGACAGTGAATATAAAGAGCTCTTTTCAGAATTTGGACTATGAAGGGGGAGAGAGGGAGAGAGACAGAGAGAAGCTTGGGGAAGATGAGTTTCTGTTTGTTTTTTAAATAACCAGAAGAGACTTGAACAGGTGTAAATATTGGTAGGAGTGGTCTGGTTGGGGTGGAGTGGCAGAAAGTACAAGAGGGAGAGGACACAGGGAGGGACAATGTTCCCTACTGGACCGGGCTGGGGGTAGGGTAGAGGTGGGGGGTGGACCGACCACACTGGGACGAGGGATCCCCCTTCTACTGTGGCAGGAGGGAGGAGGATGGGTGTGGATGGAGGTTCAGAAGTGGGAAGTTGAGGGGATTTCTTCAGATGGCTTTAGTGTGCTCTGTGAAGGAAGAAGTAAAGTCATCCCTGAGAGGATATGAGGGGATGAAGATGGGTGGTCAATGGCGGGAGGAGCGTGCTGCAAGTGTAAGAGATGGTGGGGAGTGCAGGGGCCTTAGCGAGAGAAATGGAATAAAAATGCCTGTTGTCCTCTAAGAAAACAGGCAGGAGGGCACTTTTAGGTTTGGGATTGAGTGTTATACAGGAGAAACAGAAACAGGAGGAGAAGAGACAGTGCTGGCTCTAGAATTTCTATTTGGTAGAGCAATCTGATTCAGGGCTGGGAGGGCGTGAAGCATTCTGTGTAGGATTTTACATGCTATTATAGTGAGGAAACACAAATTGTTCATACTGAAGAACAGGGAAGCCTTATGGAGACTGGGTAGGTCTTAGGAGGTAAAGCCCTGATCTTCAGGCCTGTGTTTGGCAACACCAAATGAAGGTGTTATGAAGATTGTAAACAAGAGGGGCTGTGCACTCTCTCAGATCCCCAAGGCCTCCTGCTGGCGCCCCAACAACCCCCGCCCCCCAAACCCAGCAGCTGGTGTGAATGTTCCGACTATCTGGTGGCCACAGTCAGCTGGGTATTTTCCCTATAAAGAGAGGGAAGGAGCTCTTTCCTGGTGAACCAGAAGTTTTGGGGCCAAGTACAACTCTCCATATGGTGCTGAGAGAATGGGAGCCCCGGGGGCTGCTGACCCCTCTGCCTGTGAACGCCAGCTTGCCGCAAACGTTTGCCTCAAGCTGCACTGAATGAGCAAGGAAGAGAAGGAAGGAGATGACGAATGGATTGGGGAAAGAGGAAGGAAATCAGTGACTCTGAGCAAGATGCAAGAGGCCCGAGTTAGTCATTGAGAGCTTGGTCGACTGTAAGTAATGACCAAGTCCAGGGAGTGGCTGAGGTAGCGCAGAGGGAATCTTCTGGGTGGAGGAGGTAAAGGGACAGAGAGGCTTTGGGAACAGTGAAGCCCCCTGGGCTGCTGGAAGATCCTGGGAAGAAGAATTCTATGGGCTGGTGTCAAAGCCTTCAGCAAATGGGAGGAAGGGACTAGGGAGTCAGCAGATGGGGACAGACATAGGAGGCCAGAAGTCAAATGGCATGCCAAGAGGAGGCCATGGCCCCAGAGAAACTGGTTTTCTTACAAAGGATTGGGGAAGTAACAGATTCTCAGGGAATAGGGTTCCTGGGTCTGATGATGTCCTTTGCGGAAAACCATGAGACACCATGGAACGATAGATTTAATCCCATCATATGAACTGGGATTTAGCACAAATCATTTTAGTGACCTATGTGGGCTGGAACTGTTACATGGTAAATAATGGACACACGGTTGGATCTTTACCAGTGACTGGAAGCTCAAAGGAACCATAGCCAAAGGAAGGGCAGATAGGCACTGACAGGACCTATCTGAGCAGACTGATGACGTGGCCAGGACTATCTCAGGTGACAGGAAGTGATGGCGACAGGCAGCCGATGAGGAAGAGTGGCACTTGACGTGGGGAGGACGGAAGGGCTTGGCAAATTTTTTTTTTTAGTGACTCAAATTTAATTTTGTTAACATTGGCTTTTTAAAATGTCCTTGAAAATTTTTTTCTGCAGAGATATTTCAGAAGTTTGCTTTGGCTTTATGATTAATATCTAAATTACTAAATTCACAAAGTTAAAAACCTTGTCTTTCCTTAAGGTTTTAGGTCTGACCAGCTATTTATAAATCTACCAAAATTTATAGATCACTTTAAAAGAGAATTTGGCTTATGTTTGTCCTATTTACGAACATAGCTAATCTTTAAAATAGTTCAAACTAATGAAAATAAATAAATAAATAAAATAGTTCAAGCTAGACTTATAAATGTAATATACTTCATGTCCTCTTTAAATGTTTCCATTGTTTGACTTAACAAAACTTCCCTGAGTTCTCAAATAATTCTTATAAAACTAATATGCTTATAAATATGGTGAACTTTAACCTTTCTTGTTTCCATATATAACAAGTATTCAATCCATGTTTCCACAAATAAAAATTTCAACTTAAAAATCACAAGTATAAATGAAGTATACATTTTATTTTGTTTTATTGAGGTGTAATTGACATTAACATGATATTAGTTTCATGTATACAACATAGCAATTCCACATTTGTATGCATTGCAAAATGGTCACACAATATGTCCAGTTACCATGGAAAATCACCTTACAAAGTTAATATATTATTGACTATATTCCCCATGCTGTACATTACATCCTCATGGCTTATTTCTTTCATAGCTGGAAGTTTGTACTTTTTAATCCATTTCAATCCTGCCTCCAATCCTCCCTCCCCTCTGGCAACCACCAATCTGTTCTCTCTGAGTCTGGATTTTGTTTTGTTTTGTTTGTTTGTTTTGCTTTTTGGATTCCACCTATAAGTGAAATCATGGGGTATTTGTCTTTCTCTGCCCGACTTACTTCACTTAGCATAATATCATTAAGGTCCATCCATGTTGTCACAAATGGCAAGATTTCATTCCTTTTAATGGCTGAGTAGTATGTCATTATACATATAGTTGCCACATCTTCTTTATCCATTCACCCATTGAAGGACACTTAGATAGTTTCCATGACTTGGCTACTGTAAATGATACTGCGATGAACATAGGGATGTAAATATTTTTTTGAATTAGTGTTTTCATTTTCTTTGGACAGGTACCCAGTAGCGGAATTGCTAGAACCTGTGGTATTTCTATTTATAGTTTTTTGAGGAACCTCCATACTGCTTTCCACAGTGGCCCCACTAACTTACAATCCCACTGACAATACATGAGGGCTCCCTTTCTCCACATCCTCGCCAACATTTGTTATTTCTTGTCTCTTAGATAATAGTCATTCTGACAGGTGTGCGGTGATATCTCATTGTAGTTTTGAATCTGTTATACCTTAGAACAGAACCTAAGAAGGCGTGGTCACATAGCTTACATCCGTAGGATTGAGTCATATCATGACTTTACTTTCTCCATCCACATAGAAGTCAGCACCCCCCACCCAGGCTGCCACACAACACGGTCAGATTTAGCCATTATTTGATTTCAGTATATTTTCCAAGGAGTTCCAAAGAAGTTGGAACTTGATAAAAAATCCCGCCTTCTTTTCATACCCTTCCTGCCCAATGAGACTATACAACCCTTACCGAGAGCAAAGTAATACCAATTGTTCACTCATGGTTTTCTTTAACTATAGGTTTGGAAATTAAGCTCTACATTTCTTCATTTGCATCTTTAAAAGAGGTCAGCTGTTGTGTGGCATGGTTAGGAAATCAGGGCAAGGAGCCATTGGTCAGACTTCTCTCCCTTGTTGAAATCCCACCGTGTGTCCGCAGTGGTCACTTGAGGTGTTTCTACTCCCATTTCTCCAGACCTAACTGATGTTCTGAAAAGATATGTCAATTCACCACTTGACAACTAGTAGTCGATTAGTGCCTACTTTGTTTCAGGGGCTGGAGATACTTCACTGCAAAGGGAGAATAACATCCACGCCCTCAGGAAATGCACATCCAGCTACATTCAGCGCACGTGTGTAAATTTTGGAGTCTCCTTTTCTATCACCTAATGGAATTCTTGCAATAGATGAAAACTATTGCCCTTGTCTTTGATAGTCCTGTGTGTATCCTATAACAACTTACCTCGTATATTATCCTCATGGTTTGGTCATTTGCTTCTGGGACAGTCCACCAAAGAACTTGGAGGGAAAGTCTCTTTCTCTCTTTCTTCTTCCATTTCCCAAATAGTTTCTGAAATATGTACAAATTCTCTACATTAAAGAAAAAACAGGACTTTTATGGACTTTCTGTTCTGAGTTAACATTGATGCTTCTAATCCTGAAATATATACCAAGAAGCCTGAAATCAATGTAGATCAGTCACTTGGGCCAACATATGAAACAGTCAATTTTATTTGGAGAGATTTTCTTTATCTTCCCTCCCTCGCTCCCTCCCTCCTTCCCATACCTCCTTCCCTCCAGAATGAACATTGAAATTATTCTGCCAAGAATATCTTATTTTCTGGAATCATTACAGGATCATGGGTTTCGTCCTTGAATAGACTTTGTGGAAGTTGGGTGAATTGTTCTGAATAGGCATGGAGTGATATTAGGAAGATGGCAAGCTGAAGATGAACATTACATAAGGGATAAAACTATCTGAATACAATATAAAAGGAGTTTATAGTGTTATGTTTCTAGGTCATTTGGAATTTCTGAGGTATTTAAGAAATTTAATTTTCTTTCCATCAATAAATATCTTATTTAGAGCTCTTTTGGTTGTGAGAGAAATCAATGTCAACTTATTAAGGAAAAGGGAGATATTTTATAAGTGAGTATATTTATTTTATGACTTGCTAGAGAAATTAGATGTTTTCTCCCTCCTTCTCTCAAAGGGCTAGCAAAAAGCCAGCTCCTCTCTTTTGGAGGCCTGATGTGTCTGTCTATCCTTTGCTCAAGGAGAAAAAAAAAAGGATCCTTAGAAGTCAGTTATTGAGATAATTTATGTACAATAAAACTTGTCAATCTAAAGATACAATTTGATGAGCATTGGCAAAGACATGCAGTGTGTAACCACCACCACGATCATGATGCAGAACCTTTCCAGCATTCCCAAAGTTCTCGGGTGCCTCTTTGCAGTCAGTCCCCTCCTGCCACCTGGCTCCCTGGCTTCTCCTGGATGACCTTTTGTCATAGTTTTGCTCTGTGCAGCATTTCATCTAAATGCACCCTACAGTATCTATTTGCTGTGTCTGATTTCTTTCACTTAGCATTATGCTTTTGTGATCCATCCATGTTCTGGCATGTATCAGTTCTTCCTTTTCATTGCTGAGTAGTATTCTCTTGTATAGTTAAGTAGCAATTTTTAAAATCTATTCATCAGTGGATAGATATTTGAGTTGTTTCTAGCTTTGAATATAGTACATGACTTTGTGTGGCCTTATGTTTTCATGTTTAGAGAGTAAATACCTAGGAAAGAGGATTGCTGGGTCACAAATTAAGTGCATGTTTAATTTTATAAGAAGTTCTCAAACTTTCCCAAAGTGGGTATACCATTTTGCATTTCCACCAGCAATGTATGAGAATTTCAGTTGTTGCACATTCTTACCAACACTCGGTATCATCAGTCTTTAATTTTAGTCATTCCTGTTAGCATGTAGGGGTATCTCAGTACAGTGTTTCCCCCAGTTTTATTGAGCTATAACTCACTTATATCATTGTATTAAATGTTTATAACATAGTGATTTGAGAAAAGTATATATTATGAAATGGTTACCATATTAAGTTTAGTTACCACCCATCACCCCACCTAGTTATAATTTTTTTCTTATGATGACAACTTTCAAGATCTACTCTCTTAGTAACTTTCAAATATACAGTACAGTATTTATTAACTATAGTTCTCATGTTGTACATTACATCCCTAGAACTTATTTATCTTATAACTGGAAGTTTGTACCTGTTGACCCATAGAAAGCAGTCAATTTTTTTTTTTTTTAAGATTTATTTATTTGAGACAGAGAGAATGAGAGACAGAGAGCATGAGAGGGGGGAGGGTCAGAGGGAGACGCAGACTCCCTGCCGAGCAGGGAGCCCAATACGGGACTCGATCCCGGGACCCTGGGATCATGACCTGAGCCGAAGGCAGTGGCTTAACCAACTGAGCCACCCAGGCGCCCGAAAGCAGTCAATTTTACTCTGAGAGGTTTTGGTTGATCTTTCAAGGTTCCAAAACGTTTAGAAGTAAGAGATGTTGCTTTTCATAGAAGATGAGAGGTAACAGAAGAGTACCCTACAGTCAAGACCATAGTGAAAAAACTAATATTAAAATGAGTTAAAGTAGTAAAACAATAAAATTTGAAAATTAGTTATTAGAGGTAGAACTGAAAGACCGTGTACTTCAGGAAAATTGTGAGACTTTTTCTGAGATGATGGAACTTTAAAGACATGCTTTCATATTAACTAAAGATATTTACGGTCGAAACTGCCCAAGCTGGCTTGATACTGTAAATTCTGTCACAGTATTTTAAATCCCCAAGGTATTTAGATCTCAGTGAAAATTTGATAGTTGAAGAATAACTGAAGTATTCACTTTATAAGGATACCTGTCACTCCCTGCATACCTTGAATTTAAGACAAAATCGGGGCACCTGGGTGGCTCAGTCGGTTAAGCGTCTGCCTTCGGCTCAGGTCATGATCCCAGGGTCCTGGGATCGAGTCCCACATCGGGTTCCCTCCTCGGCGGGAAGCCTGCTTCTCCATCTCCCTCTGCTTGCCATTCCCCCTGCTTGTGCGTTCTCTCTCTGTCAAATAAATAAATAAATAATCTTTAAAAAAATAAAATAAGGGGGTTCCTGGGTGGCTCAGTCATTAAGCGTCTGCCTTCCGCTCAGGTCACGATCCCAGAGTCCTGGGATCGAGCCCCACGTCGGGCTACTGTGGAAAATGTTCCTCACCCTAGAAAAACGTGACTAATCTTAATCTTGGTAAATGTACACTTGGTTCTGTACCTAACACTTATCAGTGGCCAGAAAAGGTCCAATACTCAAATTTATCCAACACAAAAGTATACAGTTTAACCCACAGTGTTTCCCAGACACGAGGCATAGTAGCCGTTAGCAATATCTTTTATTTTGCCACAATTTAAAGAACTTGACCTTTTCGGGTATGTGCTGAAGACACCACCAGATATTTCCTTCTGGAAAATAATACTTTCTCTTCAGAGCACCCTGATTCTTTTCACACACTGGAGGCCCTGGACGCCGGCGGTAACCATCTCCTTTGCTCCTGTGAATTCCTGTCGTTCACTCAGGAGCAGCGAGCGCTGGTCCAGATCCTGATCGACTGGCCAGAGAACTACCGGTGTGACTCTCCGTTCTCCGTGCGCGGCCGGCGGGTTCGGGACGCGCATCTCCCGGCCTCTGAATGCCACCGGGCAGCTCTGGTGTCTGCCGTGGGCTCTGTCCTCCTCCTGCTGCTTCTGCTCACGGGGGTCCTGTGCCACCGCTGCCACGGGCTGTGGTACCTGAAGATGATGTGGGCCTGGCTCCAGGCCAAAAGGAAGCCCAGGAAAGCGCCCCCCAGGGACCTCTGCTACGATGCCTTTGTGTCTTACAGTGAGCACGATGCCTACTGGGTGGAGACCGTGATGGTCCAGGAGCTGGAGCACTTCGACCCTCCCTTCAGGCTGTGTCTTCATGAGCGGGACTTCATCCCTGGCAAATGGATCATTGACAATATCATCGACTCCATCGAGAAGAGCCACAAGACCATCTTCGTGCTGTCTGAAAACTTCGTGAAGAGCGAGTGGTGCAAGTATGAGCTGGACTTCTCCCATTTTCGCCTTTTTTTTTTTTCTTAAGATTTTATTTATTTATTTGACAGAGGGAGACACAGCGAGAGAGGGAACACAAGCAGGGGGAATGGGAGAGGGAGAAGCAGGCTTCCCGCTGAGCAGGGAGCCCGATGCGGGCTCCATCCCAGGACCCTGGGACCATGACCTTTGCCGGAGGCAGACGCTTAACGACTGAGCCCCCCAGGTGCCCCCCCCTCCATTTTCACCTCTTTGATGAGAACAACGATGCTGACATTCTTATTCTTCTGGAGCCTGTGGGGGAAAAGGCCATCCCCCAACAGGAAGTGTTTGAGTTGAAGAATAATTCTAGTTTTTAAAATGGAAATATTCAGACAGTGAAATATTCTCAGTTTTCAAAACTTCGTTCTAAGTTAGAATTTTACTCTTATTTCCCACAGGCAGTATTAAGAACATTCTTCAAAAATTGCAGATGTTGGTGAAATCTTTTCAGAATAGAAAAATTTTGAGGAATGGGCATTTGTGTTTACAAACGTGTATAAAATAGTGCAGGGAGGGGCACCTGGGTGGCTCAGTCGTTAAGTGTCTGCCTTTGGCTCAGGTCATGATCTCGGGGTCCTGGGATCGAGCCCTGCATCCGGCTCCCTGCTCCTCACAAGGCTGCTTCTCCCTCTCACACTCCCCCTGCTTGTGTTCTCTCTGTCAAATAAATAAAATCTTAAAAATAAAATAAAACAGTGCAGGGATTATATTAGATTTTCATTAAGTGATTTTTGACAGATGTATTTCTTAGTATTTTATGTAACTATTACAAGGCGCTTTATATGAAAAAGACAAACTGAATTTTGATAACTTCATTTTAGAATTTCAGTCAGATGCTCAAAAATATAAATATCTACCATGAGTTATCCCTTCCCAAACACCTTTTCATATTGTGCTGATTTTCTAACCTTAAAAAAAAAGCTTTATAGTGAGTTGTAGGTCTTATGCCAAAAAAAAGCAGACTGACTAAGGAGTCTTGGAGTGTGATCTGGGTTTGTCACCTAGCTGTGAGCCACGTGACTTAGGAGAAGTTCTCCAATCACTTGAGCTGAAGGTGCAATAATATCAGAACTATTTATTTCCTGTGTTCTTGTGAGATTCAGATGAAAAGATATATTTGAAAGTGCTTTGAAAACATTTACGAATCTTTACTGTACATAGATGACACTGGTAATAACTTGTGGGTAAATGATTTCTCCCTGACTTTGCCAGAACATTCTAATTGGCTTTGGGATACAAAGCAATAACATCAATCTAGGCATTTCAACTAAAGACATATAGAGACAGAAAAGAGTTTTGTTTGTTTGTTTGTTTTAGATTCGGGGGGAAATATTGGAAAGAAGTTTTCTGAGGTACACAATTGAGAACTCATGAAAAAGAGAGGTGGGAATTTTGTAGGAAGAAGAAAGTCTTTCAGGCAACAGCAGAGCCCCGATCATTAGGGATAGAGAGAAATATCCACATAGTCAGTAACCTGTATAGAAAATCAGACTCCACCCTCTCAAGTTCACATTCATGCCTATTAAGTTTGCCTGATATTGGAACCTTTCATGAGGATTAGGGATGTGGAATAGGGCAAGACAAAGAACCCTGGATTTAGGGTAAAATTCTCATTTCAAATCTCAGTCCTGCCACAATTTGCATGGCATTTCTTCCTGTGTAAAAGAGAAGAATGTTTTCTTCGCCTTAATTTGTGAAGATCAAATGTAATTATGAATATAAAATGTACTGCATGAATATTATTTAGGCAGTTTAATTTTTAGAAGGTAGTTTGTTTCCCTTATAAATATTCTTCACTAGGTTCTGCGGCAATGAAAAAGGCCAATCTAAGACCGTTTTTGGAATTACTTTCAGAGGCAGGGATGGAAGGCGCAAGGTTGGGATTTGGATTCAAAATCTTCGAGGTAAGTGGGAGCCCCCCCATCTTTCATGGTCAGAGTAGGGATGTGACATAGGACCTACATACAGTCAGTGAACCACCAGGGACTGCCCCAGGATTGAAAAAAAAAAAAGTCCTTATCTGCTCCTCAGGCAAAATGTTGCTCAGTTAGACTGGACAGTGACTGGTAAGCTATTTTAATATAGGAGAGCATAGCCATGCTGGTGGGAGCGGACCCCGGGGATATACTGGCCCGTGAACATATGCTGAAGCAGGGCGGGGTGAAAGGATGAATCAGCTCCCGAGGATGGAGAGAAGCGGAGAAGGGGAATTTAAGGACTGCGTTTCCGGGTACGGGAGGCTTTGAATGCCAGAGCTTCAAGAAAATACTGGTTGGGGGCGCCTGGGTGGCTCAGTTGGTTGGGCGACTGCCTTCGGCTCAGGTCATGATCCTGGAGTCCCTGGATCGAGTCCCGCATCGGGCTCCCTGCTCGGCGGGGGGTCTGCTTCTCCCTCTGACCCTCCTCCCTCTCATGCTCTCTGTCTCTCATTCTCTCTCTCTCAAATAAATAAATAAAATCTTAAAAAATAAAAAATAAATAAAAAATAAAAGTTAAGATAATTCGGGCGCCTGGGTGGCTCAGTTGGTTAAGCGACTGCCTTCGGCTCAGGTCATGATCCTGGAGTCCCTGGATCGAGTCCCGCATCGGGCTCCCTGCTCGGCGGGGAGTCTGCTTCTCCCTCTGACCCTCCCCCCTCTCATGTGCTCTCTCTCTCTCTCATTCTCTCTGTCTCAAAAAAAAAAAAAAAAACCCACAAAACACTGGTTGGGTAACTAGCCTCTGATTTTGAAACCTTCCTCTGTGCTTGGGGAATTCAGGCACGGCGGCCGCCGGCAATCTCGATTCTCTTTTCTCCTCCCCTGACCTCCAACAGCCCCAGCGCCCTCCCCCGACGCGGGCGCCGCCGGCCGCCACCTCCGTCAAGGTCACCTGACGCAGCCCGGGGCCAAGGCGGGCGGCGCGGGGCCACAGCGCCCGGCGTGCGCACCGAGCTCGGGCCTCGCCTCCCCGTGCGCGCCGGCGCGCTTAGCGGACGGGCGGTCCCCGCAGCCGGCGAGGAGGGACATCCGGCCCGCGCACTTTTCCTTTCGCGGCCCGCCTCGGCCCCGGCGCGTCGCGTCCGGAGGCGGCGAGGAGGCGCGGCCCGACGGCGGCTCCGTCAGCCCCCAGGTACGTCGGGCCGTTCTCGCCGCCGCGCCCCAAAGCTCCCCGCAGCCGTGCGCGGGGGTGCGCTGGGCGTCGACGCGGGCGCGGGGGACCCTTGCTTCCCTCTCGCCTGCGCGCGGGGCCCGAGGCTGGTTGGCCGGCGGGCGGGCTGGGGTTGGGGGGAGAGCACCCGGGGAACGAGGACCCGACCCGAAGCCCCGGTCTGCACGCCACCCTTCTCCCCGAGCGGGGGCGACGACGGTCAGGTAAGGGCTTGCAGGTGACACGCGTGCGTCCGGCTGGGGGCGTGTCTGCGCGCCTTGGTTACTGCAGGGACCAGACTCCGCACGTTGGCTATCCTTCGCTGTGAGAAGTGGGAAAGGGTCGGGAGTCGGGATCCGCCCGGGACTCTCGCACCCTAACCCCGAGCCCGGTCTCTGCGCTGGGGTGAGCTTCACGCCCCCTGCGTGTTCCTCCATCCTTAAAATATCTGAGTTATGTCTCTGATGAGAAAATAACTTAGAGCATTTAAGTTTAGGTGAGTTCTTTAAATAAGAATGCCTGGTGATGGGTATTAAAGAGGGCACGTTCTGCATGGAGCACTGGGTGTTGTGCACAAACAATGAATCATGGAACACTGCATCAAAAACTAATGATGTATGGTGATTAACATAACAATAAAAATTTAAAAAAAATGCCCTGACGTTCCCCTTCTAACTTCTCCAACTTCCGTAAGGGAGAACTTGTGTTTAGAACTTAGATGCAAGCCAGGATTGTGTTTTTTACTGTTTTTTTTTGGAGGGGGGGCGGGAATTGATTGCTTGATTAGGGGTAAACAGCTCAACTGGCTGAGATGATGCTAATCTTGCAGAAGGTCTTGTCCGCATTGTTACTCAGATCTTTACCAGAAAAGCAACTGGTAGATAGGGTGGCCTGACTTGAAAGCAGAGACTAAAAAAAGGAAATGGCAAACATCCTATTGAAAATGGCTTATTCACCGATATTTTAAGTTTCTTCCTGTTTTAAGCAGAGAACTTTTGCATCTTTAAACTTTTTGTAATGCACTCATTTTATGAAAATTGCCAGAAGTTTACAGCATGTTTTGTAAGTTTCTAAGCTATCAGTTAATTTTTTGCATTTCTTTAAGAATTTGGCTTGGTTGGTTAAATATCTTATTTTGATTTTCGTGATCGAGCATGATTTATGGTTAAACGGCATTGTGTGACATTCTTATAAAGATCTAATAAATGTAAGTTGTATTTACTCCTTATAAATAAGAGGCTTGCATTTCAAAAATATGTTTCCCCCCACAATGGCATTTAAAATTTATATTACTTTTTCCTCATACCAAAAAGCCATGCCTGAGTCTTTGAATGCTGTCTTCTTTCTTATCAATTATTAAATTTAAAAAAATGCCGTTGTTGCTCCTTGCTGTCTACTCTTACCAGGTTTATTTTCCAAATTACAGAAGAACATATGTTTTGGGGTGCTGCTTTCAATGATGGACTATGGATAAAAATTATTTTTTTTGCTTTTGAGTGTCTGAAAATGTCTATCTCACCTTTACTCTTGAATGATAATTTAAATGGGTCTTGAAGTCTAGATTGGCGGGTGTGTCTCCCCTGCCCTTTGAGGATATCATTACATTGTTTTCAGGCTAGGTGAGGAATTTTTCTTTTTCTTTTTCTTTTTTTTTGCTGGGGATTCAATATGCATTTATAATTTGGCAACTTATTTTTTTTCCAATTCGAAAAAAATGTTTAGTTATTCTGTCTTTCAATATTTGGATCCACACCATACACGGCAGGCCTGGAGTTCTGATTTCTTACCGGAGATTTCTGGTAGGCTGGCTTTCAGCTAGGGCCAGAGGGTAGAGATTTTTTAGATCCCTGTTCACATAAGGAGTAGCCTTTTCCCAGCCTGTGGCTTTATGGAGAGTGCACTTTCAGTTCCCAACCATGCACTGGGCCCTGCGTCCCTTCACCCCTCCTGCTTCACCCGACCATTACAACCCTAGCCCTGATGTGGGTATCTGGTCGTGGTTGTGCCGGGGGCCACGGGCCTTCAACTTCCTCCCAATTCTGGAGCAGCAGATGTACATAGCATAAGTTGCCTGTCCTGCCAGGCTTACTTGTCAGACTGCCATCTTTTCCTGGGTCTTGGGCCAGTAATGCCTCACTGCTCTGTCGATTTTCTGAATTCTTCAAGCAGATGATTTTATACTTTATCCAGACCCACAACTCTTGTTAGATAGGATCCCACTCAGTCTAACTGTAGCCACTGCTCTTCCCTTTCTCAGTGTCTTACTCCGCGGAGCTCTCTGTCCCAGGCTGTAATGTAGAGGGGAAGTGGGAAGAGAGGGATGTGACTCTCATCTTCAGTGTCAGGTTGTTAGTGGTAGTTTTGGGATCACCAGTAATTATTATTTGTTGAAAAGTCACCATGAAAAGTCACCAAATATTAGAATATTTGTATGAAATAGCCCAAGATCCCTGCTCTTATGAATTTTGCAGTTTAAAGACAAAAGGCTAGGAAAAATAAAAAAATAGATGTATTTGACCTTTAAATCTCAGCTGAAAACTGGTATAGATTTCTTAAGATTGGTGCTATTTATTACAAAATGGAAATGATCAAGTAAATTTTGGTTGCCCAGTACTAAAATAATCAATACTAAGATGATTTTTTTCAATAACTGATTCAGGAGAAAGACAGTGGGATAACTATAGTACCAAATAGTAATCTCATTTCGTCTTCTGCCTGTCAATTTTAGAGGTGGGGACAATACTGGATCAATAGTCTTAATGGTTTGTTTCCATTGGCCGTTGTTGCAGCTCTTCTCATACTCATTAGCTGGCTTCCTGTAGTACCTGGTTGTTTTTTTTTATGGTGTACTGGACATTCACTTCGAAAAACTGTAGGAATAAATTTGAGGCCTCGGATAATCTTAGCCTCTTCTAGAATTTCCCTTTGCTTCTGCAGGTACCTGTGAGCACTAGCATTCCAGAAATCGTTTTCATCCATCTTCAGAGACCGAGACTGTCTGAGCCATCCAGATAAATCAGAGCTGTGCTACAGTCTCCCCGAGGGCTCGGTTTCCCCTGGTTCAGCTTTACCTTTCCATCCATGATTGCCCCAGACCTTAACCTTAAACTCCCTGTCCTTCAAGGCTATCAGTGTCATGCAGCCTATCAGACGAGGCTTACTGTGTTCAAGGTGATGAAGGATGAGACTGAAAATTTTGGCAGAGAACTGGAAACTATAAAAAATGACATAGTGGATGGGGAAAAGAACCAAAGAGAAGTTAAATAGATGAAAATGGCAATAACCGCAAAATTTAAAAGCCATGGATGGATCTACCAGTAGATTAAGCACAGCTGGAGAGAGAAGAATAAACTAGAAAGTGGATCAGAAGAAAATAGCGAGCCTGAAACTTGAAAGGCAAAATATGGAAAGAACGGAAGAGAAGGAGGCCTGGAAAACAGAGCTAAACTAGTGTTTAGATGAAAATGTCTGACCTTAAATGAATATATTGGAAATGAAGAATGGCTGAAGATTAATGAGCAAACATCTACCTTAAGAAATTAGAATAAGAACAGTAAAATAAATCTAGAGGAAGCAGAAGGAAGAAAATTGTAATATAAGAATAGAAATTAGTGAAATAGAAAAGAAATAGAGGATCTATGAAATGAGAAGCTGGTTTTTGAAAATGCTAGTAAAAAATGATAAACCACTGACAGTCAAGACAATCAAAAAAGGCACAAAGAACTCATCTAAGGAATAAGACAGGACATTAAAATAGTAAGAGGATGTTCTGAGTAACTGTGTCAATAAATTTGAAAATTTAAAAGAAAATGATAAATCCCTTGAAAAACACAATTTACCAAAAGCTGACAGATGAAGAAAAAGAACATCTGAATAGTTCCGTAGCTGTTAAGTATATTTAATGTATTTTACAAAATCAAGATAAATGTATAGATAATAACAAAAACTGCAGGCTCAGAAGGTGGCATTGGTGAATTCTACCCAAGGAAAGGAAATGTATAGGGCCATTTTACTCTGAATATGGATGCAAAAGTTCTAAAGAAAATATTAGTAAATTAATAGATCCAGTAAAATATAAAAAGGATAATATATCCAGACTAGCAGGTTTATTCTAAAAATGCAACATTGTCTCAACACTAAATTGATTAATGTAATCACTAGTATTACCAGGGTGAAGGAGGGAATTCACGTTATTATTGCAATAGATACAGGAAAACAAAAGAGAGTTTGATAAAATTCAATATTCAGTAATCAAGAAAACAAAATAAAGGTATACAGATTGGAAAAAAGAAAAAAATATCTGGGTGATATGATTGTGTACGTAGAAAATAAAAATAATCTATAAACTGTGGAATTTCTAAATCAATTTAGCAATTTTGCTTAAGTGCATGGTAAACCCATAAAATTAAATTGAAATATATATACATATATATACATATACACACACACATATATATATACACACACACATACACATGACACATAAGTACATATTACTATTTTCAAAGCTTTGAAAATATCAAATGCCTAGGAATAAATCTCAAAAAATAGACTCAAGATATCTGCGCAGAAAACCATAATATATTCTTTTTTTTTTTTTTTAAGATTTTATTTATTTGACAGAGAGAGACACAGCGAGAGAGGGAACACAAGCAGGGGGAGCGGGAGAGGGAGAAGCGGGCTTCCTGCCAAACAGGAAGCCCGATGTGGGACTCGATCCCAGGACCCTGGGATCATGACCTGAGCTGAAGGCAGTCGCTCAACCAACTGAGCCACCCAGGCACCCCAACCATAATATATTCTTGTGATAAATTAAAGAAAACCTAAATAAATGGAAAAATGTATCTTGCTCACAGATTGGAAGATTTAGTATTGTAACGATGTCATTAATTCCCAAATTGATCTACAGATTCATGGTATTGCCAGTTAAAATGAACAAGTTTTGTTTTTGAAACTGATAAGCTGGGGCACCTGGGTGGCTCAGTTGATTAAGTGTCCAACTCTTGATTTTGGCTCAGGTTGTGATCTCACACTCCTGAGGTCGAGTGCCCTGGGTTGGTCTCCACGCTCAGCTTGAGTCTGCTTGAGAGTCTCCCTCTGCCTCTGCCCCTTCTCCCACTCACACTTTCTCTCTGTCTCTCTCTCAAAATAAATAAATAAAATCTTAAGAAAAAAGAAAAAGGAGCTGATTCTGCAATTTATAAGAATATGCAAAGGGCCAAGA